TCCAGTGGGTGGGTTTGTGTACATTTTAGGACCCCATGGGTCTCTTCAATGAGCTCTCTTGTGAGGCTGGGAGTTTCTCCTGCTGCTGCAACCCCCACAGGTGTTTTCCGTCAGAGGTTTTGAGACTTTATTTCCTTGCACTTGAATCCTGGGTTGTGCAGTCTGTCTCACTCCCCAGTTGTTCCTCCATGTTTTTCCGCACATAAATATGGGACCTCCTGGTCCTCCAGCCACTGCCTTGCTTGGAGTCCTTCTGCCCTACTTGGAGTCTTGCTGCCCATCTCTGCCCCTCCTTCCTGTCTGGGTGAATGTTTCTTCTTTAACTCTTTGGTTGTTGGACTTTCATACAGTTTGATTTTCTGTCAGTTCTAGTTATTTGATGTTTTTAAATTTGTTGTTGTTCTTCTTTTGGTTGTGTGAGGAGGCACAGTGTGTATGCCTGTGCTTCTATCTTGACTGGCAGTCACTTCTACACCTGTGCTTGATTTGATTGATGGTTTGGCTACATGTAGAATTTTAAGTTGCAAAGTCACCTTCCTTTAGTATTTTGTAGCATTACTCCATCACCCTCTAGCTCCCAGTGTTCTTGTTGGGAAGTCGAAAAATATCATGATTCTTCATTTTTTGGCCTGTGAGTTGAGCTCTTTTCCCACAACAATCTGGAAGCTTGCAGAATTCATCGTCACCTCAGTGATTTGAAGGTTTAAAATCACGGGTGTTAAGCCAAGTCGTTTCTATCTAGCCACTGTCTAGGAACTACAACCTATGACTTCCAATTATAGGAAATTGTTTTGAATTATTTCACTGGTGACTTCCTCTCTTTCATTTTCAATACTGTTAAAGAAGAGATAAAACATAATACATGGACATGAGGGGCACTTGATGTTCTGATTACCCTAAGGCTTAATATCATGAAAATTGTGTTTCTGGTGTTAACTTGATAAATCACTTTGATGAAGTATAGTTGCAGACTCTACCAAAGCACCATACCCTCTTCCTTTTCTGAGGATAATATCCATAGAAATCATAGAGATTTTTTACTTGATTTATGATCTATGTTGGAAGTTTTTAGGGTACTAAGACTTCACCCGCCACACCCTGAGCTCTGACCAAGTTGCAAGAGTACTAAAAAAAAAAAAAAAGTAACAGCTTTACTACCTATCATAGAAGGATTTCTGATATAGCTGGATTGAGATGTGACAGTGCCTCCTTCCTTTCTCCATCAAATGAATTTAAACCCGTTTCACTGCAGACTGCAAACTCACCATTGAGGGAGATATCTTGCCTCAACAGTTTTCTCATGTGAATGTTGGGAGTGAAAGAGAAAAATTGTTCTGCTTGAGATGGTGACAGTTAAATAGAAAGGAAAATGAGAGAGCCTATTCCATTTTAACACAGTGATTCTGCCTCCATCAATAGACTCTTTGGAAATCAGACTTGCCCTGTGTCATCAGTCAGATAAGGCACCTTTCCTCCAGCAGGTGGGGGACAGTAAATGTTATGGAGAGTTCTAGAGTGCTTATTCCAACTTGTGTCAAGAGGCAAAGAAATCAGAAATTGTGTCTTTATTGATCTTGGCGGGAACATGGGGACAGCAAAAGGCATCTCCTGGTGTCTGCATCGGTGATTGTCAAACTTTAGTGTCCATAAATATAGCCAGGAAGGCTTATTAAGATACAAACTTGTGAGTTTTACCTCAGAGATACTCATTTAGAATGTGTAAATGATTTCCATTTCTCTGATCCTGTTCCTGTTCTAGTTGTTTGCTTAGTTTTAGTTTTTGTTTTTTAGATTATCAGTGGTGAGGAAGACGGGGAGAATGGGGGAAAAGGTACAGGGAATAAAGAATAATTGGTGGGCACAAAATAGACAGAGGGGCTTAAGAATAATATAGGAAATGGAGAAGCCAAAGAACTTATATGTATAACCCATGGACATGAATTAAGGTGGAGGGGGGAAGTGCTGGAGGGTGGGGGGTGCAGGGCAGAGGGGGAGACAGGGAAGAAAATATTGGGACGACTGTAATAGCCTAGTCAATAGAATTTACTTTAAAAAATAAAATGACAGCTCAAGTGTCAAAAAAAAGAATGTGTGAATGAAACATATTGAAGTCCAGGAATATTCATTTTTAATAAGCTTCTCTGTTAATTTTTTTTCAGAGAGTCTATGGTTTCCACTTTGAGAAACACTCAATATAATGTCAAGTACCTGAATGCAGATTTTGCAATTCCAACAAATAGTAAACTCAGAAATAATTACATAAGTCTATAGATTTGTGTTTTGTTTTTTTCAAGTATGAACACAATCCTAAACTTAAAATTGCACTGCTTTATTTTGCTTTATGCCCACTAGTTGATAGTCTCTCTCTTGTACCCACATTACTAATATGAGTTCCAAAATAATGGGTAACATATTTTCTTTATTGTTCTTTTTTCATTTCTCCAATGTGCCAATATTCTCTGCCCAGGACCTTCCTGTTTACCACTGCCTCAAACACCCACTCCACTTTCCTTCCATTCTCTGCATTTTATTGGCCTTCATAACTTCTAATATTTCAGATTTTATCTAAGCGTCACTCACTCACAGAGTTCTCTCTGGACATCAATCCCGAGTCCCATCTCCATGTCGTTTCTTTTCGAAGAGCCTTGTTCATTCCCACCACTGCCGTTTTCACAGTTATGGTAATAGAGCTGTCTGACTACTTTACCAATGCCTATCTCCACTTTTGGACTGTAAGCTCGAAGAGCAAATGTTTATATTAATTATTTTTCAGCCTTCTTTGTAAAAATACCTTCTAGGTACCTTCAGTGCTCGTAGGGATCTGTGGCCGATAGCCTTTGCGTCCCTGTTCCTGGGCGCCAGGTGTGGCAGACCCTGTCCAGCAGAGTCTGCCTGTTGTGGCTGACAACGAGAATCAATGCACAGGTGACAACAATCCTGTGTGGAAAAAGGGAACAGGCACAGTTGCTCTCTCAAGGGGAGAGTGCCTGTGGGTGCCTCAGTCACCCACAAGAGGGGAGTGCCCAGGTCCTTGCCTAGACAGGCTTTTATTATTTTCCTGGGGTCTTACATGAAAGAAAGGCTTATTATCTATCACATAGAATATTATTATCTACATTCTAGGTACAATCAAGGAAATAAAAATAGCATGCAAAGGGGGATGGCAATGAGCTGATTAGCTCTGTCCGTGGGAGAACTCACACAGGCTTTTGAAATTACCTTGAATACAGACAATACACATCTGTTGCTTTAGACCAGGGTGATGGAGTTTTAGCAAGAGCAAGCCATAATAATCTGTATGCATTTTCTGGGCCTGATTCCCATGGGAAAACTTGGTTTGTAAGTCTGGGTTCTGCCCACCACTTCACTTCCATAGGTTTTCCATACAGAGCTGAGTCACATTTGCCAGGCCAAGACAAACTGGTCCCCTGCAGGGTTCCTGCTTTGTTATAGCCCTCAATTTAATGAGCAAAGTAGATTATGGTGGGGATAATGATGAAAATATCATCGTATATGTTTATAGGTCTTGCATGTGTTGTAAAGTTTTAAATCTCTGCTTTAATAATCATAACCCAATAGTTTCGGGTTAAATGTGGGTGTGCCATGGAATAGTGTTACCATGGTTTTACTCTCAAGGTTAAACATTTCCCCCCACAATGTACCTTCAAGGTACCACTTCAGTGTTTTTCACTGTTTTCATGACAAACATCTCAATTACCCTGAACTAACTTTCCTTAATACCAAGCAATTGCCCAGACTATGGTTTTACAAAGCTGTTTTCTCTTCTTGGAATGTCTTTTTTTCTTTTGTCCTCAGTATAAATTCCTACTTAGTCTTATATTCTATTTATAGTGGATAAATAGTATTAATGTTCTCTAAACTTAAATTATAATTATCCATTAATCCAAGTGCCCTCTGATAGTCCATTTCCAGCCAGCAGGGTATTCTTGTGTTCTGAATGACTAAAGTAGTGCTTGGCAATGAGCATATCTTATAGATGTGTGAGCATATGTGCATGTCTCATGTATGTATATATGGAAAAAGAATAAATGGCTTTTGTTGGGTGATATGCATATTCACATATTAAAATTTACCATAACGGTATAACTCTATAATGTCTGTAACTAAATTTTATTTGGGCAAATATTTATTCTATACTCTTAGAATCACTAGAAAATACTTCCTAAATAGTGAGATTCTTACTACAAGGTACAATGAACCAGTGTCATAAAATATAATCAGAAACTTAGTAAACCGGTTTATTGGAAGAGAGTATAAAATGCAAAATACAAAGAATTTGTTTTCTGACTTTACTTTTGTTTTCTTATGACATCAATGGTATACATTTTGTAATTTTTCTTTCCACTCCCAGAATCATTAGCTACTTTCTGTTTGACTAGCAAAAATATAAGTTTCCTCAATGCAAGTAATGCAATGATTGGATGATCTCACGCCGGGTAGACTTTGACATATAACTGCTTTTTTTTAGATTCCATTATTTTATTTAAAGTTCATTGAAAAGTAAACACTTTAATTGTGGGTTTTATATGAAACACAAGTTTTTAAGGAGACTACTAGTTGAGTTTTATCATTGCAGCTAAAATTTATTATTATAATTCTGACAACAAGAACACTACCATTTTAATATTACAATTACTGCCTTCCTATAATAACTTTACTTTCCTGTTAAATGCTGAGTGACATAATTAGAATTATATTTATAAAGGCTATCTTCATAATATTAGCCACAGTTTATATTTTATTGTTGCTTACGGGTTATACAATCTAATTTAAAATGTCTTCTGTTTTTGATATGAGTAGATAATTAGCTGATTTCTATAAAAAAAGACTAACATCACATTTACGTATACTTTATTTCAACTTAAGCTTCACAGAAAATAAACTCAATATTTTCTAATAAGTATACCTGAGGGAAATCATTTTGGAGAAGCTATCCATTTTATCTTTAACAAGGTCCCTGTTGTTTAATTTTTCTGCAGGATCAATAAAACGAGGAACAAGAAAACAGGTCTAAGTGAAAGATGCCAATCAAAAGAATTCTGAAATGTTAAAGAAAACTCAAAAGCAGCCGTGAAAAATATTGTCCTCGGCATACAGCAGTTACATTGTGCAACAACTTCATTGCAAATTATATTTACACAACTCCAAAAGAATCGGCATTTTCTCAGTGCATCTCCTGGGAGCCAGGGATCCCGAGAACAGCTGGAAGATTCCCAGGCCAGCCAAGATTGCGGAGCACATTGAAATGAAGAATTGCAGGGTGAGTGGAGGAGAGGTTGAAGACAGAGAAAGAAAAGGGAAAAATTTCACGTAGCATCATCCTGGAATCGGTGGCAAGCCCGAGTCCACATCACAGGTGAAGAGGAAAAACAAGAAATAATAATACCAATTAAATTGCTAAATGTAGGTGACACTTTAAAATTTAAAAATATTTTGAGTGTAGTGTAAATAGAACAGGCTTCCTGCTCAGGGAAATCTAGATTTTCGTGCTAGACCTTATCATTTACTTGCTTTTGTCAACTTATTCCATCTTCTTGAACTTCAAATTCCTGAATTATGTGGGTTGGGTAGTAATATCAGAATTATTGTGCAATATTTTGGTAGAATGTATATAATGCTCCTTAGAAAAAAATGTCAGCCTACAAATGCCCATTTCCTTCTACATGCTATCTTCCTTCTCCTCCAAAAAGTGTGTTAAGTAGGTTAACATGAGTAATCTGCCCTCTAGGGTACTTCTGTACCTTAGCTTCTGAGCAGTTAGGCTTTCGGGTTGGGGTGTAGCACAGGTTTATTGTTCTTTTACTTCTTACTGAATCAGCCCTTTCTTTCACAAAGTAAGGGAGTGACCTGAAAATGCCCTTGACCTAGGAGCTTCCATTTCTCCCTCTGTAGAAAGAGAAAGGTGGGCTATAACTGGGTTTCCAAATGCTAATTCATAGAACAGCCACATCCCAATAACCTGGACAAAATGCACACGCTGACTTCAGTTTGGTTCCATGTTTTTAACCACTTTCCGTAGCAACTCTAATGCCACAAGATCAGGGACCCTCTTCTGAACTCCTTTCCGTTCTAAACTTCAGATGCTTATTTTTCCTTGTTTGTTTCCTTCTCCCCCCAACAACTACCTACGTTATGAAGTTTATTTAAAGACTTCCAGAAAAAAAGACATTGAGAGATATGAAGAACACAAAAAGGAGAGTACTTATACAATCCCTTCAAATAAAATGACATTTAGAGAACTGATCAGGCAGAACTAATTTAACTAATTTTTGACTTTTCACCTTTGACCTCCACCAAGATTACCGGTTACTGTCAGCTATATAAAATGTTCAGTAGCTGATTTTGTACATGTATAAAGACAAATGCCTTAGTATTTTCTCCCTTGTATTTGAAAATGGTCTTTGATAGTAGAATTTGAAACAGAAGACCACCAGCAACAAAAAATTATATACAAGTAACAGGTGTATGAAAAGCAGTTCCCTTAACAAACTGAACTTTGCTCGTCTATTTTTATAATCTCTGTTCTTTGCGGCATATAGTTTGCACGTCATGTTGCAAGCATAAATCGAATTTTATTAAAATGACTGGTGTTGTGTCTGTTTGTAGACATAATAAAGTGTCTTTGGCTAGCTGTAGCATGTGTCGTGTGGGAAAACTAAACACCTGTCGTGCCAAGGCTGTGATGAATTCTGTAAGGTCACAGAGAGAATTGAGGGTTTAGTTTGTTTCAAATGAGAAATGATACGTGTGGAAGTGAAAGTTTATATGACTGTACATCTTCAGGCGCAGGAATATTCACAAGTTGGATGCATGACGCTGGTTTTGGGACAAAAGTTATAAAGAGCCCTAAGGCGTTGGCAGTGCCGTGGGGGAATCATTTCCCCGAGGTAAACCCTAAGACTTGTGGGCTGATGGTAAAGAGACGGCCTGGGGCCTTCCTGCCCACACAGCTCCTGTCATAGGCTCAGGTGCAGTTTGATGGCACTGATCAAACGGTGGGAATATGGGATGGAAAGCAGAATTCAGAGAGAAGTTTGCTTTGGGACAGAATGAAGCTGAGAATTGTAAATTTTATGAAAGTAACACTGTTTTAAACCTTGCTTTTTGTTTGAACTCTTGTAACCTGGCATATACTATATGTAAAATAAAGAAAGTTAAAATATTAAAATGAAATATTGATAAATAAAATGTTGTGGGGTCATGCTGGACATGGCTCCTCCAACCCCCGTAATGAAGGGCTGCCCAGAATGTGTACGGCTTTGGAAATGCATTGTAATTCCCTCATTTCCTTTTGGGAGCAGCTTCTACTCCTGTGTGACCGCTTCTTGACCTTTCCTCTCTGCAGGTGCACACTGAGGCACTGTGGTTTAGAGTCTCGTGCAAGACACTGGCCCCCTTTTTCCGGGATCCCTTAAAACAAGTCTTGGACTCACGGAGGTGTGGTCCTGCTATGAGGTTGGTGCTCCTGTAACGTGAGTAATGAAGGCTGTGTCTGCCCCACACAGCCCTGCTTGGATTTTGTCGGTTTATTCCAATGTGCAATCGAGACCCCTGGGCTCGACCTCCTGCATTACAAATGTGTTGACGAAACAAAGGAATAGCAAATTGATGACCATCTGGGTTGAGATGCTCAGGAGCAGTTGGGAATGTGAATCAAGAGGTCAGGAGTAGGTGGTGAGATTGGGGTGGGGCCCTAGGAGAACATAAGACTGTTGGATTAGAGTGTGGGAGCAAACGGAGTCTAATATGGGTCAATTTAGATCAATTAGAACACGTTATTTAGTAATGTTGCTCCATCTGATCCTCAGATACACACACACACACACACACACACACACACACACACCAACCCCTTTCACAGCTGAAACAAGTCCGACCATGTTCGGAGCCTTGCCCATTAGTACCCGGTGGCTGATGCAAAACTCTTACTCTCTGTCCAGGGGTCTAGAAAAATATCAAAACAATAATTGTTTCCAAGGCTTATTTATATCAGTGTAAGCATCACTACACTTACATTGCCAAATAGATTTGTTTATTTAAAGGTCTTTTAAGTTGCTTTTTTCCCCCAAAGTCACCACAGATTAGCAGAAACAGAAAATGGGCTGTTACAAGGGCACACAGTTTGTTACTATTTTTGCATTTTACTATTTCAGAAAATTATTGTTGTAGGGCTATTAATTTTTTATCTTTCAGTAAAATGTGTATTAGTGCCATAAAAAGGATGGCATTCATGCATACGCAATAGCTCTTTTTGTTCATGAGTATCAGTTTCTATTTTTGTCATTACATATAAAACAATATGAATCATGTGGATAGTATGAAAATGGAAGGTTGTAGGGCAATGCTAATGAATTCTAGTGGGTTCCAAAGGGAGAGCCATTGGGTCTCTCCAAATACAAGCTATTGATCGCAGAATGAGTGGGGAATAGTTTTTCTTTGTTAAGTCTTAGAATTAAGACAATATATCTCAGCACTGAGAAAATATCTATGACTTGAGACTGTGGCACACCACAATTAAATAATGATATTTTACATAAAAAGTAGTAGCCCCTTTGTTTAGACATTAGGTGAAGCATTTTCCTCTTTTATGATAATTTTCAGTAAATAAGATTTGGCCTTAATTTATTGAATAGCCTTATTTTATAAAGACTATTTAATCTGCTATTTATCCAATCCTTATATATAGCTTTAAAAGCATGATGTAATCAAATATTTAAATCAATATCACTTCAAGTACCATTTGAAATGAATAGTTCATACTTTTCTTGATAAATAACAATACATATTTAATAATCAGGGATAATAATACATTATACTCACTGTTACATAGAATAACTTCCAGACTGTCTTCCTCTCACGGTGCAGCCTGTGGCAATGGGTCTGGAAGAGGCAAAGAGGGACCCTGGGCTCGCTCCTTTTCCCTCCCAGGGGCCCTGTCAGGTTCCAGAGCTGAAGGAAACCATTGCCACGTGCACAGTGACACAGTCCTGCATGCGAGACCTTTGGTCCGGACCAGAGAGACAGGCAGGAGAGGGATCCCAGCCACTGTGTACCTGAACTGACTGACAGGAGGAGACTGGGTTGACATTTGACACCTTCCTTTCCCATCAGGCTTAGTGCTTTAAACTCAGTAATTTTAGATATTGTACTTTTTAATTTTTAAATGTATGCAAAATATGCATAGTTGATGGTCACCTTACACTATTTAGGATACAAAGGGCATTTCTGCACCTGCGTTCTAACCTGCCCAGCAGGATCCTTTGCGGCAGTGCTGCAAGTCACCCCAGCCTTTGTATGGTTGACTCTCCCCGGCCAAAACACCCAGGAGTGGCTCTCATAGAGCCTTCAGTGTTACAGAAGATGACTAAGTGAGAGTGTGTTAGTATAAGATGCCTCGTTCCAAAGAAATTTTAACTCAGACATCAAATTCTATAGTTATAACAAGTTAAAATTCTATCAAATTACAGTGTGGAATGACAACAAATCACTTACAATGGACCTCTCTGGAGAAGTGTGATAGAGTAACCTAGTGTTTGGATTGGAAAGCATCAACTTAATACGAGCAGATTTCATAAGAAAAATAAGATAAACTCATAAAAAAGGGTAGGTCTGATTGCTTTTTTCCCCAGTGTATAACAATGAGAATTTCCTTTAAAAAATAATAGTTTCCTTTGAATTCAGAAACAAGACAAAGATGAATACTACCGTGGTTATTATCTAATATTTTTTGGCAGTGCTACTTAAATGAAATTTGACAAGAAAAATACAGAAGAGTATATAGATTGGAGACAAAAGTTATCTCTATTTTCAGATGATGATTATACTTAGAAAGACAAAGAAAAGTGACTGAAAACATTAGAAACTATAAATTCAATAATGAGGGAAGGGACTGGAGAAAGTACATGTATGAATGACCCATGGACATGAACAATGGGATGGGCTGTGGGAGCAGGGGGTGGGGTGGGCAGAAGAGGGCAAAGGGAAAACATTAGGACAACTGTAATAGAATAACAATAAAAAATGATTTAATAAAAAATATTTTACAGGGTTTCTATGTCAAGTACCATAATAAGTACATTGAAGTAGCTAAAGAAAAAATAACCAGCCAGAAAATGTTAGGAAATAAAATATTGGCTTTAAGATTGACAAAAGATCAAACACTTGGAAATAAGGAAATAAATTAATCTGTAATATTCAGGAGTTATAACAAGAAAGACATAGATGTACCATTATTTGTTGATTAGAGTCATTTACCCTGAAACCAAAAGACAGCTATCTGAAACATGGCCCTTCTATTTTTGGATATAAAGTTTCCAAAATCATGACGATTATAATTGAAACCTTACTATATTTTTTCTAAATGTCTATCAGTGAGAGAGTTAACCAATCAGCACAGATAATGTAGACACTGATTGGACAGACCTGCCATTTAAACCACCGGGTACAAACTCTTATGTAACATGTGCTGCCATTTACATGGAAAGAAAGCAGGTATGTGCATGTGTATGTGGAACACTTGTTGGAGTAGGGTCTCAAGTTCAGCTGGAAGATACAAGAGTATTTGCCTCCAGGCATGTGAAAAAGAGCTACCATAAAATTTTTTTGCTGGAAAAAACCAGTAAAAATTGATTCACTTTATAATTTCTTCAGTGGACAGCAGTGTGGGTTTGAAGTAATCCTACTTACACCTATGAATCTTTCTGGTATGGAATACTGGTGCCTTCCATCCACTACCATGGAGATGTTCCCCAACTTGAGTCACCCAAAAAGCCCTGATTTCTGGGGTCAAGGAAGAGGCTATCCACTCTTTATAGCTACACAACAGGGATAGCTATGTCCCCAACCTTTTGTAGAATGCCACAGTGAAGTGTGGGTGGCTAAGGACAGACCTGCTAACTGCCAATTCTCAGATCCTAAGACAGTTTTTAGAATGTCTAAATTCCTGAAGGAATAATTTGATTTTTTCTTAAATACCTGTTTAAAAGAAGTAAGATCACCTCTATGTTAAATATAAGTATTTATTCAAGAAAAAGAAACTAAAAACGTTTCAAGTGCTCCCTGCATGTCAGTCATGTAAGTGACTGTAAGTGACATTGTGTGAGCAACTTTGCAGGGTTCTCACAACAGCCCAGAGTGCAAACATGAGACAACAGACAACTCAGAAGGAAAGTGTGTAGACCAAGGTCAACTGCAACAGAAAAGGTCAGGGCCAAACTTCCAGTGTTCCTTCCTCTCAAAGATACCCTGTACACTTCATTATAATGTTATGTCTCAATACCCTAAACTGTGTGTATCTTCCTCATGCAGCTGCTTTAGGATACTCTGATAACAGAATTTCATTTCTGCACTCTCAACCCAATGATAAATTTGTCAACATCCATAGGAAGAACCAATTCTGTGTACAAACATCTACTGTGCATTTGTAATCATCAACGTGAAGATAACCACTTGCAGAGCAATATTGTAAGGGTAGTAGCAATATTAGAAGGGTAGTAAATACATTGCTTTAATTCTGAACCTCTGCAGAAAATTCTAGCAACTTTATTTTCAGGATTTGCCCCTACTGATGACCAGAATTGCCAAAAAGAGGACTCGCTCATTGGCTCTGTGTTGGGAAGCAGATGTTGTGGCGATGGAGAGAGTGCATGTGTGTGGGCTAGGCTGGAGGGCACTGACCTGTGTACTGTTCTGGTCTTTGTTCCGACAGCTATGCCTCTGTCGGAGCTCACTGGGTAAGGTGAGTGGAGATGGCAAGGTGGAGTATGCCATTAAGCTCTTGGAGAGAGGAAGTACAGAAATATGAGGCGCAGACTTTATGGTGCCAAATACTTGCGATGATACACATGTATATTTTAAAGCAAGAACACATTATTGAGAACCACTTTTTGTTTGGATAAGAAACAGCATATAAATGTCTGAAGATTACTGTAACATCTATTATTGGGGAAATGTTATAATCTAGATAGACATAGAGGCTAGATTTCACCCAATAATCTTTTCATAAGGATTATCAAAAAAAGTCAAAAAAAATCAGAAATGTCTTGACTTTTTTACTGTATACTAAATATTCATGAAAGAATTAGCATCATGGCCCAGACAGCACCCAGCTGGAAGTCAAAGGTCACTTCAATCTGACTAACATCATTCTTTCAGGAATAGACAATTACGCTCCTGATTTTGAAGTAAAAACAATTCTAGCTCAGGTGTCAGTTGCACTTTATAGCAACAAATTAATAATTTAAGATAGTGTTCTTTTATGCTTCATCAAGTTCTTTCCTCATAGAGTACTTTTTATTTATGGGTTTTTATTTTAAAGTTTAATTATATAAACATTTTAAATCCTACTACTAAGAATTACCTTCCTCCATGCCTGTATAAGGAGGGTGTTTAGGGTGAAAAAGAAAAATTTCCACCTCACATTTTATGAAACTTCAGAAAGGGCAAGACTTTCACAAAAAGAAATTATAAAGTTCTTCTGATCTCTTTGGCTTTTCTTAAACCAAATTGCTGGCTCATTTAGCCACTGGAAAGTAATTAGAGCTCCAGAATTAATAGTTGCATTACTTTAGGTGTTTCTGCTGCATTTTTCTTAGTATTTGTAAGATTCTATCAAATAATACATTTAGCACACTTTTATTGAATTGTTACATCCAATGTACTCAGAGACTATAGCAGAAACTCAAAGACAGTGTCTTCTTTTTTCAAGAGTTTCAAATTAAGAGGAGGTAAACATATACTTTCATAACTAGTTTAAAGCAGTATCTACTCATAAGCATAAAAAGAGGCACACAAAAAATATACCTGAGGGAGAGAAATGGAAGAAAACATCACTGTAGTTGAGAGGATCACATAAAAGTATGTGAAGAAAAGCATATTTATCTAGAGTTAAAGTACAGATGTGAGACCTTTAGGGAAGGAGCTAGAGAGGTTGCAAGGAGTGAAACAGATGCAAACATCAGAAAGAAATGGGATTAGGTTGAAGAAGATGTTTTTCTAGACCACAAAGTACACAAAGAGGAGTAGAAATGAGACTGGTTTTGTTTTAGTTTAAAATGATGTCATTAGACTCTAATCAAAGTAATCACTGTCGACCCAGTACAGGACCTGTATTGATCAACCATTGGATGTGGGCTGCGAGGGGGCGGGGCATGGCCTGCACCCACAGAGGCAATCCCAGAAGGTGATGTTGGCCAAAATGCCTGCTGATGGATCCCCATAGCCGGCTGGAGGCAAGTCCTTTAATTTGGGGGCAAGTCCTTTACTTTGGGGACTCTGGGAGTGCACCTCTTGTCCACCACAGCCCACTCCTGCCTCTTACATCATCTTTGCTCCTACATGTCATGGGATCAGTTCTTCTGGGATGCCATCAGAGCTGTCTTCTTGCAGAAGATGTAGAGGAGGAAGGTTATTGAGATGAACTACAACCTCTGCAGATGGTCTCTGAGCCAACACTGACCAGCTCCTTTACCACCAGCCACTCAAGGTCACACTCACCCTCAGCTGGCCCTTCTGATGGTCTTGGCAGCATAGCTGTTAAGGGGATATAAGTCTTTATCCTGAAGGAGTCCCTGGTCCATATGCTCTTCTCGAGCCAGGTTTGCTGCACTGCTGTATCTGTCACCTGAATTGGGCACAGAAATACAAAAAGACTCCCAAATGGATGGTCTTGGCATTGGACAAAGTGTTCCGGTTTCAACAATACTGGATGATAAGGGGAACTATAAACTCAATGGTACAGCTATTTAACTAATCATGGTGAGTTAGAAGACCTCCCACACTTTTATAGAACTCTAGCTCATCTGCCATGTCACCTCAGTAAAAAAAAAATGATTCACACTGGCTTCAAAACTGGGTTTTGAAAAGACTTAAAACTAGGTTTGTTTTTGTTTTGTAAGAAAAGTACTATGAAGCACCTAAGTTCAATTCTTGAGCATGGACACATAAAAATATTAACATTACAGAAACCTCTCTATGCATATAGAAAATAACTCGTGCCCTCTCAGATTAAGAGAATATGGACATGTCATGTGAGTCTAAGGTTACATAATATTGATTTTTTCCAAAAAGAGTAAGAGGAACAAGTCATTATCCTGAACTTGGTTTCAGGAATCATGATAGAAGTAAAATAAATGTAAATTTTTCTAGGCTAAGTTTATGAAATTACTCTGATGAGCTCTTTATAAAGTGATTCTTTAAGTGCAATAAAATTCTTACAGAAATGATGAAAATTGATGTCATAATAATTAATAGAAGCATTAAAATAGAACCCCAATTAGAAAGTTGTTTTAATGGTTTACTAACATTTTTCTTATTCTCCAGGAGGAAAATAATAGCAAAACCCAGTATTTCTAATGACAAAAGAGCAACATCAAAAGTGTGCATGTGTGTATGGATGTAAGTATATATATTCATAAACTGATTATTATAGTAAATCACTCATAATGGATACTTTGAGACGTGATATGGGGAAAAGTCTAGGTTTTTAGTTTTCAGACTTTAGCTGAAAATCTTCTGTGCCACCTTATAGTCATTTAGGAAAGTCACCTGAACCACCTCTGCCTCAGTTTCTTACCTGTGCATATGGTTGAGAAGATCAGGTGAAAGAGCACACATCAAGGACACCGGCATTGCTGACCACGTGGACAGTGCTCAGAAATGGCCACTTCTCCTCTCTGTCGGTGAAATACAAGGCTTATTTCCGACCACCTATGTTGGTTTTCTTTCAACCTCAGTAATTCCTGTACAATAAAAGTATGATTGACATTAATAGGGGCTAGAGAGTAAAATGAGAATCAGATGGAAAGAGCAGATCTGAAAATGCAATGGAGTAGAAATGGGTCAAATTCAGGGTTTTACTTTTAAAACTCTATTTACTGACTTCATAAAAACATGATATTACATGTTTTTATATATTGTATAAGCTGTGGTTGTTCTGTGTGTGTTTTGTTGTGTTTTTGTTTTTCTTTCGGGGAGTTTAGGAATACTGACTTGGTTTGTTGGAAATCAGCCAGGAATCTTTTCAATAATTAAAGTTTGCAAAGCATAAATAAAGCTATGTCTAACTCAGCAAGATTGCAGTTCTTCTCCCTTCATCCATAACTTCTTCCACCTTCTCCCTCCTTGGCCTACTCCTTATCCTGGAGATCACGAGAGCTGTTCTGAAGTGGAAAAAATGATGTTTTCTGTTTTGTTTAGTGAGCCTAGGCTTCTTTCCTTCATTGAGGCTCCAGGTCAGAAAGCTGGGCCATTTTATGTTTAAGATTGTGCTGGGCCTTTCAATGGTACTGTGCTTCATTTGAGAGGTAGATGGGGAGGAAAACTGAGATATTTATCCTCCCCAAGCCCTATTGGGTTGGGAACTTGGGAAGAGGACATATTCACTAAGGGATGCTGTTTTAATGTTGCATGTCTCTTACCTTAGTGTGATACAATGGAATGAACCCTGGTCTCAGAATCAGAAGGCATAGTTTCTTGCTTCCAGTCTGCCATTAAGTTGTTATGAGTTAATAAAAATGTCACTTAAGTTTTTTGAGTTTAGTTTCTTCATAAATTAAATGTAGGGTAAAAAAGGACGTTCCCTGAGGTTCGTTTCAGCTCTAAACTTGTATCACTCCATCTCAGCTTGCTCCAAATTGTTCCTGTTCCCCTCGGTGTGTAATTTATGTGTCAATTAAACACAGTTGTATCAAGTGAATAATAGTAATCACCTTTCCTTAACTCTCCCTGTTCTCCCTCTAAAAATGTTCTAATGGAAAGCCTCAAGTCAGGAGCTCTTTGAAAAGCATTGAGCAAAATTAACTTTAAAATATTTTGTAAGTCAAAGACCTTAAGACTTTAATATTACAAACACTTTAAATTATGTTCTGAAATGTTGAGGAAGAGGAGCATTTTTGTCCAGTTCTGTGCAGGCTTCCTCCCAATTTCATTGTCCATTACTGGGCAGCTGTTCAACATACGCCCCTTCCCATTCAGTGTAACAGTGAGCCGTGAAGCGTCCTGTTCCAGAGCATTTCATTTACCTCCCCATCTCCCCCAGCCCTCTTTTCTCTGTGTACCTCAAGAGCAGAACCTGGAAAATTTTGCAAAATGTGCTTGTGAGGGCAAGTGCAGACCACTTAATGGGTCAACATTTTTCTCTCTTTTCCTGAGGGAAGATCTTGAAAAGCAAAAGGTGTTTACAGAACAGTAAATACTACTGTTTTTAATGCAATGGAGCTTCTCACAAGGTTCCTTTCAGTTCCTGATGCTACTTCTCACCCCCCTCCCCTCCCCTCCATGAAAAGTGGGTCTGGGCAGCCATATTTCAATACACAACAGGATTTCTTTTCGGTAGGGAGACAGGCTATCACTACTTATCAATTTATAGGATGCTTAAGCGTATTTTCCAAGAAATTAGGAACTCTTCAAGAGTTATTTCACTATTTATCTGGATAATAACATACTGGGTATAATTTTGGGCACCAGGACCAAGTAACTAGATTAAGCAAAATGGCAGGAGTCTTCTTTCCACCAGGCCTTCTTACTATCTTTTTTAAAAGGTGGGAGAAATATATCTTGCTTCTGGAGAAATATATCTTTCAAACCTTTGGTGTCCCTTCTGTTATGTTGCAGAGACACCATTTTGCTTTTCTATGCTACTCTCCACTTACTGACAAGGCATGGCTCTTCCTAATGCCAATATTGCTAAAGGTAGCTCTAGTGATCATGATAACAACTACTAAATATTAAACACTTTATAGTTCCAGGCACTAAACTGTTATATGTGGCTTATATATTTAATCCTCCAAGAACCTACTGAAACTTTGTGAATATCCACATCTTAATGATAAGAAACCTACAGCTCAAGAAGCCTAAGTACTTCGTCCTAAGTCACAGTGGCCCCAGTGGAAGAAGAGATGGGCGTTGATCCCAGGAATTCTAACGTTAGAGCTCCAGACCCCAAGTTTTCATTGCCTACTGAATATCTCCAGTTAAGTGTTCTGCATGTACTTCAAAATTCAATATATTAAAACTCAAATGAGCCCTGGCTGGTGTAGCTCAGTGGATTGAGCATGGACCTGTAAAGCAAAAAGTCACCTGTTCGGTTTCCAGTCAGGGCACATGCCTGGGTTGCAGGCCAGGTCCCCAGTAGGGGACACATGAGAGGCAACCACACATTGATGTTTCTCTCCCACTCTTCCTCCTTCCCTTCCCCTCTCTCTAAAAAAATAAATAAATAAAAATGTTTTAAAAGTGCATTTCTTTAATAAAAAGTAAAATAAAACTCAAATGTTACATGTCTTTATTCCTATTTTTTAAATAGTGATTATTTTTAAAATCACAGGAAACTTGCCTTTTCTCTTATGGTTCCTCTTTCAAATAAAGTCCTCACCATCTCCCAAGCTTCCTTGAAGAGAATATTTAATGTTGATTGTAATGCTTTTTTTCTCACCCTATTTTTATATTCAATTTATCACTCCTATTGACTTACAGTTTAAATATTATTTTTCTTCAACATTCTACCTGTAATTGGCTTGGTTCCCTTTATTGCTTGCTTGAGTTTTGGAAAGTGTCAGAACTGGATGTTGCACATTGAATTGCTTCCTCTTCAAATTCCTGTGCTAAAGTCCTCACTCACAGTAGCTCAAACAGAACCTTATTGGAAATAGAGTTGTTACAGAGGAACTCAAGGTAAAATCATATCACTGGAGTAGGACTAGATCCTGTATGTCTAGTGTCCATATAAAAAGGGGAAATCCGGACACAGATACACAGGGAGAATGCTATTTGAACTTGAAGGCAGAGACTGAGGTGATGTGTCTACAAACTAAGCAGCACCGAAGATTGCCACTAGAAGGTCAGGAGAAGAATTGGAACAGAATCTTCCTCACAGCTCTCAGTAGAGAGGTGCCAGCCCAGATGGCACCTTGACTTGTGACTTTCAGAACTGGGAGATAACAGGTTTCTGTTGGTGAAGCCCCTTGTTTAAAGTACCTTTTACAGCAGCCCTAGGAAACTACTCCATGGCTTTCTGATGTCCATGCTGCCTTCAAACTTAAGTCATGAATTAGAGCCACAGCAAACTGCCCTTTGCCCAAAGATGCTGTCCCTTCTTGACCTTGGTCTGTCCCTGAGCTTGTCCTTTTCCAAATCTGTTGACTCTTTATCTGGCAAACTTGTGCTTATCTTTAAAATTCCAGTTTCAATATTTCTTTCTTTGAATCTTTCCAAGTGTCAACCCACCCCACTCATGAGAGGTTTCAGCTGCCTTAATGTCTCTAAGTGGAGTTTGGGGTGTGTATTGGTTTGGATCTAGACAGAAAAAAGAAATTCTTGGACATCAGATGAAATCATCAGCAATTGTCATTTTTGCTATACAGATTCAATTCAATATCAGCAATGGTTCAATATAGTATTTTAAACAGTAAACTTAGCACACACATTACAAGTGATGGAAAAGCTGAAAGGTAAAGCATGTGAGTCAAGCCAGAGAGCAGCACAATTAAGGAACTGCCTGTGACCCTTGGGCTGGAGGGACAGAGGGAAGAGGGTGGCCCGGGAAGTGGCCTAATGAACTTGGAGCCACTGCAGATCTATAAGGCAGGAGAGACAGCCACAGAGGGGGTTCCAAAGCTTCCAGAGAATCCTCCAAAACAGGCAGGGAAAGAAGTCCTCCAACTTATCCCTTTCCCTATTCTCCAGACTTCTGCCAGTCTTCCCTTTGGCCAAATTTAGCTGAAAGCTGGAGGACAATGGAGTCCGGGAGTTTATTTTACAACACAAAGTGGAGTAGATGAGGGTGGGGAGTGGATGTGAAAGGAAACAGTTGGATGAAAGGCAGAGAGTATCAATGGTTCTCTTATGTTTGACTTCAGTTTGTCCACCACCTGCCTGGTGTTAGGCCTGATGCTGTTAGAACTGTGTTGTTTCACAGAACTGAGCCCTCCATTGTCTCGGATGTTTGTACACCTTGAACTTAATCCATAGAGACGGCTATGAAAAAGGAATTCACCAGAGTTCTCTCCTCCAGTTTCTGGATGAGTTAACATCAAAGGCCAAAGTAAAGGCCCCTGATAATGAGGTCATGCTGAGCCACCAGTCTACTGGCCTCAAAGCAATGCTCAGCAGAGTTCTGCTTCCCAGGGAGAGAGATCAGAGGGAGTGCCAGGAATTGCACACCTACCTGTGGGTATCTGAGCAGACGGACACCAGACAGGCAGAACAAGGCTGCAGGAAACCATGGGGTGGCAGCCCGGCCCAGACCTGAGGTGAGATACAAGAGGACACCTGCAGTGACTCAGGAATTGGGGAGGGAGGGCTATGTCAGCGCACCTGATTTTACAGGATCTATTACATCTGTGTTTCCTGAGCATTACAAACTGTGGGATTGTTTTAATTTTTAGAGGGGAATGCAG